ACCTTCATATGAAGGTTATAATGTTCAGTTTCACTCTGTCGAAACTGTTTAACGTAGTTGTTGTTTATGTTGTTAATTTAACTTAATGACCATTTTTGAGAGTGTTGTTTGTGGTGCTGTTGAACTGTATTGGGTTACACAAAGAGGAGTTCATTAACCTGCCCTCATTGATATACATGTAGTATAGGAATACCTGTAAACATGTACACACAGTTGAATCAACACCTCTCTAAAGCTGAACATTATAACCTCCATTAAGGTAGGACTCATGTCATGGCTGTTGTATTAGACTCATTAGTTTTAGCAAGGTTTACCTAATAAACTGCGAACTGTGTGTGTTCAGACTAGTGGGTGTTACCTTAGAGAGTGTAGTATTGTTGGGTTGTTTGTAGCTTTAGTTTTGGCAATTACTTCACTGTGTGTTGTGTTATTATCCAGTCCAAACCATTGACAGTAGATATACATCTGTCCAGTTGAACTTCCAGCACAATATTAACAACATTTAGCCTCTTGTTAATAGTTAGCTACAAGTTTCCCCAGTTACCTGGCGAAAAATGGAAATAAATCCCAAAGAATAGTTATCCTCCAGAGAGTTAACTGTCAAGCAGAAAGAAATAGTGTCACTGAATATAATGTGATGGATGGAGGTATACAAAAATGATACACTTCAAGTTCAAAGTTGAACAGTTCAGATCCAAGAGAAGAGTTAGTCAGAGAGTGTATGACTGAAAAACATAATGGATAGCTTCATCTTACACAAAGGCAAGATCATGCTTTATGGTTGTACATTGAACATCATAGTCCTATACTTTCACTGTGGCAATATCTGGAAATACTGGATTTAAACATTGGATTTATTCAGGGAAAAATATTTTTTTCATCGAGGGCAGACAACACATCTCTGTGGGATCCTTCAATATTCTTAAAGATGCAACAGGTAAAAAACATAAAGCTAAATAGATAAACAAGATTAGAACCAAAATGTATAAATATTATTGTTATATTATTAAGCAACTTGTTTATTGAGTTACTTTAGTTATGTTAAACACAGTGATGTATAAGCAGGTTATTTAGTATTGCATATACCCACTTCTACATCCCCCTGATGTACATCATTCAGTAGTGTTGGCCAGGGGTTCCCACCCTTTTTCCTTAAGGGACCTTTTTCTATCATTGAGTGATCTAACGACCCCTGACTAAGTGACATATTTTATGGATATCTCATATTATATACCTGATTAACTGTACAATGAACACAAACAGTGAACTCAATAACTGCAGGAAGTTTGTGTAAAACAAGAGATTTGGTTGATTATTTCCTTTGAATATAGAATCAGAGATGGGTTTTTTCTGATATTTTTGGGAGCTTTTTATACAAACAATCATACCTAGTTAATAGGCTTCTTTTTTGGGCTACAGCTTGTGCAGAATTTATTATTATTATTGAAACGGATTACATCAAAAATGTTTAGTTAATTTAAATACAATACTTTTTAATAATACAAATACAAATTTCTTAAAATGGCTAAAGCTACTTGATGTAATAAACAATCAACAAGTAGCCTATTTGAGTGAAATTAATTTAAAAATGTATTTTTATTATACAGTGTTTTTAGCTTCTAAAAGTCTATGCAAAAACTCACTAATCTGCAGCTCAGTAATGACAGTCTGTCGGATGTGAACGCCACACAGTCACCAAAGAGCTCTTATTTTTGAATGCTCCACCGGAAACAAACCCTTTTAATATAATGGGCGGTTTGACACGTTATCCCCTGTCTTCACCTCCCTCCCTCCCCTCCCTCACCTCTCGGCATCCTCCTCCTCACCCTCCGCCCCCCTCACCCACCCCACCACATCCTTCTCCTCGCTCACACCGGTAGTTGTCATGGCGATGGAGTCAGCCTCGGCGTCGGCTCCAGGGGTTGTTGCCATGGAGATCCCGGTGCGAGGTGCGCTCCCGGTGGTGGAGGAAGACGAGGGCTACAGCGCGCCGCCGCCGGGGTCCGAGGAGCGACTACGGTACCGCCGAGGAGGAGGGAGACGACGGTGCGGGGTGCCGTTCAACCGGGGCGGCTACTACATGCTGATAGTGATCGGGGAGATCGGCACGGAGCAGCAGCTGGACGCCGCCAAAGCGCAGATAGAGCGGGGTGAGTGATGGACCGAGCGCCGCTCTATCTCTGGTTATTATCTGTTCGCCAGCTGTGTTTTAGTGTGCGGCTTTGGGGTGGAAAGTCACGGGAAAACGTGTAAACCTCGAAACGTCAACAGGAGGGAAATATTTTGACGCAATGGATAGAGTAGTATCCATAGGTAGAGACAGTTGCTGCAGCATTGCACCATGGGACAGCACGCATTTTCCCTTACCCACTGTGAACTCTTAGGACTATAACATTGCAGACTCAAGTTGTAGCAGAGGTCCTTTTTACTTAAATAAAGCTGTAAGCTGCATGCAGCCTCCCTCACAGTGTCAACCAGATACGATACTCTTTTTCAAGGCTACTAAACTATTTATGAATCAATCATTTCCCGTTTAGACCTGACCAATCAGAGTGGCTGGATAAGTTAGGTAAAACAAGCAAAACATTATTCCCACCCTGCACAATAGTGTGCCTCTCTGTGTTGCAGCAGCCAGCCATTTAAAATACAGTCTGCATTTGAGCAGTCGTATGTGGTTTTATGTATGTGTGTGTCCCTACACGGGTGTATTGTGGACGGGGTGTCACAGACCCTCAGACTAGCACACAAACTAAATCTGCAGGATGTCCTCAGCAACATAACATTTATTATAAAGGAAAAAAGACAGCTTTCTGTTTGCAGCTGGACTCATTACTCAGCTGAATATCTCAGTGATGTCTGAGTTCAAACCCCGCTTCTCCTGCTGAGGAACTGCAGCAGACTGCAGCCATCCTGTCAGAGGTTTAGGGGTGTAAAGGGATTGTTAAGCAGTTATGAAATATGTTGTGTGCAGACTCAGGAGTATGCTGGTCAGCAGTTTTTCTGGCCCAGATGATCAATCACAGTTTTGGATGCCAGAGCGGTGCCATAGCAACCCCTTCCATCCTCTCAGGCCTCCTCTGCCTCTGCTGTAAGGGGCTTGACAGCTCTGCTCAGTATCACGCCCCCTCTGCTCATTACAGCATCGATTCCTTCGTCCAGGTCTGTGTTTTAGGTGTGACTCAACGTGAATGACCTGCCATTGACTCTCATTACGTGTTAGCTGCAGGGTCCCTCGGTAGGCCTGCAACAAGACACCGTCACTGCAGTGCTGTAGTTAAACAAGACAAAACAAGAGGTTAAGAGCTTTTCATTGGGACAGATTTGATTTGATTTAGGGTTAATGTCCGTCTGGTGGCAATAATGTTTTTGTTTAATCATTTAAAGTCTCTTAGTCCAACCAACAGGCCAAACAAACCCCAAAGGTCCTAGATTTACAATCATATATAACAGAGATAAGCTGCAAATCCTCACATTTGACAACTGATTTACTTTAAGTGTTGTCAGTTCATTTCCTTTTAAAATTTGATAAACACATCAATTAACTGACTTATTGTTTTAAATAAATTAGCCTATTATGCTGATATCAAATTCTGTGTTACTACCAATTTGGCTTTTCCATTTGTGGGCTCTCTGTATTTGAGAGTGAATTAAAAAGAACATTATTTGAGTTGCTTTCCTGTTCATTGATGTTTAGTGAGGACTATCAGGAAACACTGAATGTGCTAAAGCTACCAGGATGAAGGTTTAAAGCAACAATATGTAAGATTTGGTATTTGCTGTGATTTGGCTCCCCCAGTTTCAGAGTGCGATACCACTGTTGTAAATATGAACTGCTGGTCACGTGTATTTGTTATGATTTATGATGACACCAAATATCAAACAAGTGCAACAACACAAGACATAGCAAGCCAGCTAATAGTACTTAGTAGTCCAACAGCAAGAAGGCCAGCTCGCCATCTGTCTGCAACCTTTTAGTTCTTGCCAACGACTAAAAGCCAGTCCCAGATTTACTCTTCTCCGGCGGCTTCTTGCTTGGTCACTCTCTCCTTTTCTCTTCATAGCTTCCTCCGCCAGCGTCCTCTTAGGCCTCGTCACTTCCGCCATGTCCGCAGACGCTGCTGAGCCAGGTTACATTTCCCGCTCGCCCTGTGCCTTAAAATCTGTGAAAATACACCAACACTCCCTGGTGCTTTGAGCTCTCAACCTGGGCTTCATGGACGGAGCTAACTAGCTTAGCTGTTAACTTACTTTATCAAATAATAAAGCTTTCTGTCCATCAAGTTGAGGAGAAGCTGGAGGATATCAAAGGCAAAACCAGAAATTTCCACCATAAAATATGATCCAGTGATATAGTTGGTGGTGTGACTTAGTGCCGTAAAGAGCTATGCAATACGCACTTATCCCGACCCAGAGCACAAAGTTACATATTAAGTAAGTAAGTAATAGAACAGTTGTAAGAGAACGACAGAGGTACCTTTCACCCTATTACAAGTCAGTGTAGCATCAAAATGATTTGAAGCTGTTATTTTAAGGTAGAAGAGTTACAATTAGTCTCTTAACTGGTAGCTAAACGACAGCTGCCTTTCAGACTTTTTAAGCCCTGGGCTAACCTAAGGCCGAGGCCACAGAAAGCGCAGGGCAAAGTCATTCACATGTTTATAATGTAACCTTTAGCTTACCATTAACCACATGTTAAGGATTCTTACGTCATAATTAGACCCCAGGGTTAATATATTTATCCTCACAGTGCCAGCTATTTAAATTTGATACTTACACATTTTGCTCATCTCTGTGTGTTTGGGAATAATTCTCAAAATTTTAGTGTAAGTGCAGCTCGAAATATATGTTGCTTATGCTATATGTGTGCATATATATAGTGATGGACACAGTTCACCATCTCTTGTCTTCATTTGCACTGAATTTAAGGGGCCAGTTCCTGCACCATGTGTTTGTTCAGTACTGTGTGTTTTCTTATAGTGTCCCTGCACCAAATCCCTAGTACACGTTAGTGTTCCTGGAAAAGAAAATGACTGTTCCTGAGAGAAGAGGCTAATCAAACATCACAAACTCATCCTGAGCTTGTGATCCAGTGTTTCTACCAGAGGTGCCGGGAAAGACTGTCAGCCCTAACACCTTTAGGTTTAGCAGATTTGGAACCTGGAGGCAGCGGAAGAGAAAATTAGTTTGACACTGAGCTTAATGCTCTTCCCCTCACACCTCAGACAGCATGAACACACCGTGTCCCAACCCCAAATTTCAGAGTTTGTATTGGATATACCTTTGAAACATGGTTGTGAAACCCTTCCCTCTATAAAGGCTACAATTATTTGGCTGCATCTCAAAGTGGGAAAATCTGAAATATTTAACATACAGTCCAGTGAATGACTCATTCAGTAACTGATGAAGTATTAATACCATATTTGTATTAATACCATTATTTACATTTCACATGTCTCCCATCTTCCTATCTTGCAGAACACCTTGCTATAGGTATAGGTGTAGGTTTAGGTTTAGGTTTAGGTAGTTGTCGACCTTGACAGAAAACAGCGGCTATGGTTAGTTTGAATTATGACGGCAACAGTGAAGTTTTCACATTGGACAAAAAGTATCAAAATGTCGATGTCTCAAACCACTCCTGCATCACAACCCACTGCTCTGTATTTACCAAACAATCCTATCTTTGTCATATTTTGACAAACGTTTGACTATCATTATTGACTATTGATTAGTTGACTATTGTGATCCACTATAACTGACGTAAATCAAACTGCCCACAACTGCTTTAAAGAGGAAACTACAAACACTTAACAGACACATTTTAAGACTACAGCAGATACGTTTTTGGTACTAAAAGATTTTGTCGGACTGTCAGATGGATTGCTTTTAATGCTCAGGATGTTAACTGATTTCAAGGAATGTATCTTTACTGGCCATACCCTGGTTAAAGTCTTTTTCGGGTTAATTTTAATCTTTTATACGCCTGTTACTGAGTCTACGTGTTGCCACAAGCACCAAATAACAGAATATTTCAGTCCCCTTGCAGCATGCAGATTTGGTGAATTCATAATGTTTGACCCCACATAGATTTCAACTACTTTCCAAGTAGTTGTTTGAGTGTGGCATCTTCTGTGCTTCATTCTAGTGTGCCAAGCTGCCATTGGCTCATTACTGCCCCCTGAAGCCGGAGAGCAGAAACATTCACTTCAGCTTTGATTGGTGAGAACTGCAGTCACAGTGGGTGTTTTCTCCCCCTGTTGGTGCAGCAATAAACTCATCTGACATTAGAAAACAAACTTGTACTATCCACAAAAAGCTGAAATTGTATGCTTTATCTAAAGTGTTTTCAAACTGTATGTTTTGGTTTTACAAGTAAAAAGACCTAAGTTGGCTAGTGTACATATAGAGAAATTCCCACCCCACAATAAAAAGCAGCATACAGCCACATCATTTATCTTTTCAATGGGAGGCATCAGTGAGTGTCTCTCACACAGTGGATAAAAAGGTTCCAGGCTGGGCCATCATTATGTACAGTATTCATCTTGATGTGCAACACTGGGTCACTGACTGACTTTGAGCAGATACTGACAACTAGAAGTAAAAAGACAAAAGAGATTTTCACTCTACATTAACTAAAAAAAAAAATACATCTGTTCAAGACCCAAAGATATACAATTTCAATTTATATAAAATAAAGAAAAACAGCAAATCCTCACATTTGAGAAGCTGAAACCAGCAAATGCTTGGCCTCCTTGCTTTGAAAGTGAAAAAAATAAATATTAATTGACAGCCTATAAACAACCAGTTATGTCTGAGCTTTGTTTCAGTGTTTGACACAATATGTTGACTAATGTCCTTCCCCCGGACCCATAAACACAAAGGCCTTCTTTATTCCCATCATTTCCCCTGTCTTCTGTGGATGCTAACAATCTTTTTATCGTGAGCATTAGGATGAGAAGGCATCAACATCAGAGTCAGAGGTAGAATTTTTTATGCGTCTGGCAGTGAAATACGTTTGCTATTGAATTCTAACAAAAAGTTAATAACAGTGACACAGCATTTCTGGGCACAGACTGCAGTCTGTAGTGAGGGAACATTTTCTCCTCAGTTAAGGGCAAAACAAGGTCTTAAAAGTCTTTTTTGTGAAACACGAGAATTTAGCACAGGGGTATGGATTGGAAAATTCATTTTTTTTTTTTTCTTTTATAAGTATTATTTGGCCTTGTTCTGCTCTTTTTGACAGGGGGAAGCTGGAGAGACGACAGAGCAAGGCGGGCAGAGAGGAGAGAGGGCACGACATGCAGCAAAGGGCCAGCAGGGCTCAGAACTCGAACCTGGCCTCGCTGCGATGCATATTGGCACTCACCAGCCGTCTACCGACTGATGCTAACCGGGCACGCCTGGATTGGAATGTCTATTTTTTGCTCTTGCTGGAAGGGGAATACCACAGACTGGTGCATTAAGATGAGAGAGGCGGTTTCGCACGTGGGTTTCTGATTGCCTTGGATGAGATCTCGAGGCGCGTTGCTCTCTGAAGTGTTGACTCACTGCGGCTCAGCAGGGATCTGATAAAATGAGTGTGTGGTGGTGTGGAGATTTGCGTGATCAGTTCGTTGGACTGGGAGTAATCGCTCTGGTGGTCAGGTGAGCTCCAATTAGTTGTTTCATGGTTCTAGTGCTCTTATGCTTGATCGTGGCACTGTTTGACTTGCGCTAACTAGATGTAGATTAGCTGTTCTTCAAATGTTGGTATACAGGGATTGAATTAACAATTCAAAATGACATGTACGATAATCAATGCAGCAACTTTAGTAACTTCGGTGTAATATCTCCCGATAATATCAATGATCTTCAGTCATCAGTCTAAGTATAGGCGTCCAGTCTCCCTCTGTTTTAATTAATAAGGCATGGTAACCCTGCAGTTACCAAATATTAGTCAGGTCAGATAATAGCATGCTTTTTGGCAGACTGCCTTTTGAAGGTCTTAGGCATTATTAAAGGATGAAACAGTCCAATAGGGAGGGAGTTTTATCCGTTGCCTCCGATCTGCCTGATGTTTGGAGAATTAGCCCAACTGCCTCTTTGCTCTATCTACTTAAAAGTGTGATACCAGTACATGGTGGTGTAGCTTTACCCACCTTGTTTTCTACAGCCCCCAAGTCACCAAAAAAATCAGTTAATTACAGTTTAGCAATTTTCAGTTGTTCATAATTTTATGCATGTATACAAATGCTCACTAAATGACTTTTGTACAACGACCCTTCAAATCCGACGGAGGGGTTGTGGGGCCATATTAAGACGGGTTATACGTTTGTCTTAAATTTCACGAAGGGAATTAAAGTCGATTAGTATTAGGTCTACGAAGTAATAAAGTACTAATACTTACGCGGAGAATTAAAATAAAATAAAGTATTTATTTTTGCTCTAGGTATGGGCCGCCTAATTCGTCCGTCGTACTTAAAAGCGTCCAGTGATGCGTAACTTGTAGAATCTATTGCCAGTTGTCTATTAGTGGTGTAAGTCACCTGACCAGGATGGAGATTGTTTTGTGTTTCTGTTACCTAAATGATTTTGGTATCTACAGAGGGAGCGCGTCCTCTTCTATGGAGGGGTCCGGGGGCCATGTTGTGAAACCACCATGTTTTCTACTGTACCCAGAACGGACAGAGTAGATAGGGCCGTTTCTCATTCTTTGCAGATTGTTTCTCCGTAACTGGGGTGTGAATGTGGATGGGTGGAGGCAGAGGGAGTTGCAAATCACCACTTGATTCCACAAATCCTTAAACACTGGCGTGCTTTTAATAAGTGCGACTGATGGCGATGACATTTTATGAATCTGTTACCCTTAAAGTAACAACCTTTCATATGATTTTATTAAGATTATAACAAAGTTGGGGTTTTCAAAAAATGCCGCTCGTTTATAAGCCTTTAAAACAGTTTCACATTTTTGTTCGGCACGGGGTATGTTTCAATTCCAATTCACCATTAATTTCGTATTTGTATAGCCGCCAATTCATAAACAAGAAGTGTATCTCAGCGACACTTTGTCAAACTAGAGCAGGGTCTTCAGACCGAACTCCTTTTAACATGTTACGGAGGAGGACCCAACAGCTACCACCACAATGAGCCAAGCACTTGGCGGAGCAACGGCAAGGAAAAACTGGCCTTTCTAAACAGGGGGCAGAAACCTCGGGACAGACCCTTCGGCTCTTTAGGTGCGGGTGGGGTCATCCGGCCTTGACCCAGTTTGGGGGGGGAGAGAGAGAGAGGAGGACGAGAGGGAGGGGAGAAGAGAGAGAGAGACAAGAGAGAAAAGACAGACGTGGTATCTTTGACAACAACAGTAGCAACAACTACCAGTTAATCAGTAATTTGATCGGATGGGAGATCATTTGAAAAAAGACGCAGCAACGATGG